GGGGAGCGCCCCTCAGTGACAGCTGGTCTGGCTGTGGAGAATAAAGAGGGAGAGGCGGTGAGTCATCTGTGCACACACTATTCCTGCGGCTGTGCCCTCCTCTGTGAGCTGCAAGCAACAGTTTTCGGGCCAGAGGATGAGGATGTACCAGGAGCAAGGCCATGTGTAGCCTGCACAGCAGGCCCTGCCTCACAGGGACTCTGAGGTGCCATGGGGATGATGATGCCCACTTCCCCACCTCGCCACGGACAAGCAGGCAAGGCAAATGTCTGGCCACAGTGTGATCCCATAAGTGGGAGAGGGGCCTGGAGCAGTCTGGCCCACACACACTCCAGTGCCTGTGAGCGCTGTCTGTGGGAGCAGATGGTGCCTCACGCGTACAGTCATGCCCATGTGATGTGTGCAGCACTCCTTAGTCTGTATGGGGTCGTGCATGTGCCCTTGTGCCCAGCCTGCTTCCAGTGTTGGCTGGTGGTGGGAGGGTAGGGTGTCCCCCCCCCAAGGGTCAGACATCCCTGTAGGGCTCAGGCATCCTCTCCAGGGGTCAGACGTCCCTCCCAAAGGTCAAACGTGTGTGTGGCCTCCCCAGAGCCTGTGAGCAGGATCCCGGGGGTGCTCCAGGGCTGCTTCTTGAGGCCGCGTGGTGCAGACTAGCGCCGGACGTGCTTCCACGTGCACCAACTGCAGCACAATGTCCAGGCTGAGAAGGCCAAGTGACAATCGCACCTCATTCCTCTGCGCCCACCTCCTCCTCTGCCCTGTGTGTGTGTAAAACTGAGAGCACTCGCCTGACGATCCCTCTCCGCCATCAGAGGATGCCTGTGACATGTCTGGTGGATCTCCTGGTAGTAGGGGCAGGAGTGGGGTCCTGCCCCAGAGCGAGAGCTGTGCTCCCTGGACCTGACGTAGCCCTGCTGGAGGGAGCTCCTTTCACTTTACTCCAGACCTGTTCTAAGGTCCAGGGGGAGGGGGTATGTTCCCTCTCTGCCGGGACCTCAGCCATGCACCCACAGACGTCAGCGTTCCTGCTTCGGGAGTGGAGATCCTGCAGGGTCTCCTCCTGCCCCACAGCCCCAGGAGGGACTTCAGACCAGGAGGGCACATGCCGTTTGCTACCCCTGGCAGGGTTCTAGGAGCCCTGGTGTTGCTCCCTGTGAGGGACAGGGAGGTCTCGGGTGGTCTCGGGTGGTCAGGTGCTGCTCCCAGGGCCGTCTTCCTGCCACAAGGCTTCTCCAGGGTGCCTGCAGCTTTAAGAGGTGCCAGGAGACAGGAACTATAGAGTTGTGATTACTTTGGATGGCGTGTCCTCCAGGGCACCTGTGTTTTTTCCTGTAGGCCTCTTCTTTTGAAAGAAAACCTTCCTCCCCGTCCACACACATCTTTTCTCGAAAGAACTCTTTTGGAAAAGGTGTTCTTTCTCATAGAAAGAGGAGTACAACTGTCGGAAAAAACCCTCTGTTCTTTCAATTTAATTTTGAAAGAACATGATTGCAGTGTGGACATAACTCAAGTTTTGTCGAAAACGGCTGTTTTTCCAACAAAACACTGTAGAGTAGACATACCCTGAGTCCTTGCCTGTTCCTTAGCTAGTTCTTATATTTATACAGTGATTGACACTCAGCTCCTTCTTCACCGAATGCCTGGGGTTCCTTGAGAGGAACTTTTTTTCCCAACATGCTTTTTTGGAACTGGCCTTTTAAACCTGGCAGAGCATCACGGGTGAAGTGCTAAAGAAGGTTTCTTTGTGATTTGCAGCTGTTGTCTGAAGCTCTCTCCCCCAACACTGGTAAGTACTTGCTACGCTGTCCCTTTCTTATTGCCATGTTTTATATTGGATATGTACTCAGAAATCATTATTCCTGTTTTTCCAGTCTAATCAATCTGTCAATCTCAATGTAAGCACGATGCAGAGTCCAGCGATTAAGCCCTGGCATAGTAAGTGGTTTTCCACATTTTGGCTCAAATTTGTCACTTCAACATGTCTCACACGTGTAACCAGAGAAAATCAAATGTTTTACATCTGCACTTGTGTTGGTTTGTATCACGCTCAAGACTATTTACCTAAGAAGATGTTTGCTCTTTAGAGTCATTGTTAGGTGTTTGATGGTTTTCAGAGAGATTTAAATGTACTCATGCATTGTATCATGTTGAGCAACAGATTTTTTTTCAACATCTGTGAAGTTATTATTGACAGACACATATTGCTTTATGAACTGGGGCATCCTTTCAAATTGCATTTGCCATACTGAGTTAATGGGTCATGTTTCAATAGAGTGTGTGGGTGGTGAACTACACAGAGCTACTTAGCATTCATGGAGACTTTTCTCTCCCCCATTTCCAAAATAGTCCTTTAAGTCTGGAACAAGTATTACAGAAGCTATTTGGCTTCCAAAGGTGCAGCTGGGGATAACTCTGCAGTAAGTCTAGTGTAACGGAAGGACATTACATTGCTATTCACTAAATAGCATCCAAGGAAATAGCATGGAACAAACAAATACAAAAGGACTGTTTAGATGGACATTATTCACTGGAGAAATAGTGGAAGGAATGTTGCACGTCGACATTCTTTGCTTTTACCTAAAGACCATATTTTTAGAGATAGACACTAGATTAGATTCTTATTTGATCTATATTAGCTTAAATCTGTTGAACTCAATGGAGCTAAACCAATTTATACTAGTTAAGAATATGACCCAGTCTCTACTAAAGTCATTTGTATTATTGTTGCACCTAAAGTCCCCAGATGAGATTGGGAACCATTGTACTAGGCAATGTACAGACACATAGTGAGGTCCAGCCACAAATGTAGCACGACTACCAATGTGCTAATTGCCTTGGCCTTGGAGGCAAAGAATTAAAACATGCTCTTTGCTTTTTATAGTAACCAGCTCTTTCCTGGGGCCTGATGGACAGTGTGAGACCTTTAAACTGTCCCCTTTAAATTTTGTATTCATAGAATACAAATCACATAGATTGGGATGAAATCTATCTGATCACTTGGCTGCCCCCTGCAAGTGGGCAACTCTCTTCGATATAAATAATGTAAGGTTTTGCTGCCACCCAATTAATTAACTTTATTTTGAGTGTCACTGGCTATATCTACACTTAAGGCTACATCTAGACTGGCCCCTTCTCCGGAAGAGGCATGCAAAGCAGGCAAGTCAGAATAGGGAAATCCTGCAAGTAGGAATAAGAGATCCTCCGGAAAAGGGCTTTATTCCGGAGGATCGCGCCAGTCTAGACGCTCTTTTCCGGCTTTTCCCCAAGCCGGAAAAAAAGCGGCGGCCATGTTTATTTAAATCCCGCGGGGGATATTTAAATCCCCCGCGGATTTTCCTATTCTGACTTGCCTGCTTTGCATGCCTCTTCCGGAGAAGGGGCCAGTCTAGACGTAGCCTTAGGGTATATCTACACAGCAGGGCTTAACTCAACGTAAGCTACGCAAATTGAGCTACATCAATTACGTAGCTTATTTTGAAATAGCTTATTTCGAAATTGGGAGTGTCTACAAAACACTGCAAAATAGAGTACTCTTCCTCCCACTTCTCTTACTCCTCTACAATGAAGGTTATGGAATCGGAGAAAGAAGTCCTCCAACATGACAGTATTTCTACACTATTTTGAAATAACTGTTCGCTGTGTAGAGGCGGACTAAGTTATTTCGCAATAAAGCTAGTTATTTTGAAATAATGTTGCTGTGTAGATGTACCCTTACAGTGACACTTTGAGACACTGCATGCTCTGCTAGCATGAGCATATATAGCAGTGTAGAGGTTAGACATGGCCTAGGTGAGTAAAGTAGATTGCCCTACACATATGAGTCAACTTTCACTTTTCTCTGCGGACACACCACTCCCAGACAGCTCTGAGGTCCGATGGCGGCGCCCTGCAACATGCAAATGCTCTCCAGGAAATTCAAATCCCGGGCTTCATTTGCAACTCCGGTTGCCTACATTAACCATCCTAGT